TTTTTACATATAGTAAAATGGGTTTCTTCAGTAAGATAGGAAACTTCTTTCGAAATGTTGGAAGAGGTATATGGAATGGAATAAAATCTGTCGGAAGAGGAGTATGGAACGGTGTCAAAAATATTGGTAAAAGAGTATGTCAGTTTGTTGGTATTATACCTAAAGACCCTGAACCAGAAGAACAAGCTCCTGTTATACAACAGCCTGAACCTGCACCACAGTCAAGTTGGCAACCACAACCGGTATATTAAAAAATTATATTTTTATCGTTCGATAGTAGTTGTATATGAAACTAAGTTCTAAGTAAAACGCATGGTATAATGGAATTATTCTTTTTCTTCCATCTGTAGTAAACCATACTTGAAAGTCTGAAATACTTCCACTCGGCGGTTCATATAACTTTGTAGGTTTTTCGTAAAAGTCATTTGCCAAGCATAAGAAAGAGTTTTGGGCGCCAGAAAATGAAGCATGAACAATAATAGCAGCTGGGTCGAAAACATTTTCATATGTTCCATTAGGGTTTTCGACTTCATAAAAGTTCGGGTGTACTGGATATGCTGCAGGCTGATTTAACATCCTCAAAAATCTATACCATGCCAAGTTGTTATATTTTGTAGAAATATAAACGTTTTCTCCAAGGTCTTCTATTCTATCGATTTTAACAGTTGCATTTTTCCTGTCATAAACAATATCGAGATGGTACTCTCCTTCGTCAATGTTGTACTGTTTTGCATATTCGAGATAGATATCGTTTATTTTTTCTTGAAAAGCTTGAAGAGTTGTTTCTAAGTTTACAAGCAAATTCACTTGTAAAAGTTTTCCCTGTTCAAATTTCTCATACGTACGTTTCTCTTTGTTATAGTATCGAATTTCAAAAGCGACCGTAAATGGGAAACCATGTATGGCTTCTGAAATGAATTTCATTCTACGAAAGCCAATAGCTTTTGTGACGGATGGGTCTCTTAGCCATCTTAACGGGTAGTCAAAACGATAGCCTTCATGCTTTACGGTCTCTGTCTCAAACTTTTGACCGACATTCGTAAAAAGTTCATCTAATGGTTTAGTTGTAGCAACTCTAGAATTTTCTTTTTCTATTGAAAGCATATTTTATCTAGAATAAAAATGTCGAAAGAAACAGCGTCTATGAGAGAAATACAACACAACCGACAACTCATTGTACAAGCTCTAAATAAGAACACAACAAACTTTTCAAACTATTCTAAGATATCTGAGTCATTGAAAGAAGGAAACTTAAAACTGACATTAAACCCATTGACAGACGAGTTTCTGTTTCAAGACAGTAAGAACCATACTGTTTGTATAAATCCAACAAAAAGAACTTTAAACGAGAAACCTATAGATGAACTTCTTTTGAAAGCAGATATTGACAACAAAGCTGACAAAGAGTATGTAGATGCAACAAGAGACTATATTCTCGCATGGACAGATAGAACATACCCACAAAAACATCATACACATAACATCTATGACGTAGATGAACTACCAGCAATGTTAGATGACAAAGCAGATAAAACATATGTTGACAATAAAATGTCAAGTGAAGTGACAAGAGCTGACAAAGAATATTCTAAAAAGACTCATACACATACCATTGCAAATATTACAAACTTACAAGAAACCTTAAACAGGAAAAGTGACGTTGGACATACACACGATTTCTTCGCAACTGTTGGTATAGAAAATATTGCAGGAACGGTTGAAGAACCTGATGGAACTGGTGGGGATGTATTAAATTGGAAACCTCCTAACTTTCCACAAGGTTTAACATCGGAGGATGACATAACGACGATGAGATACATTAGATGTAGAGATGTTTATGTCATGGAGGATGAAAATAAAGTTAAATTCACTGCTCAAGATTTATATGACAAGAAAGCAGACAAAAAGAGCTTCAAACATTAAAGACAGAAATACTTCAAACCATTTACCCGGTTGGTTCTATTTATACGTCAATGAACTCTACCAGACCAGAAGTAGTACTTGGTTTTGGAACTTGGACTCAAATACTCGAAAGTTTTTTGTATTGTGCACACACTCCAAAGAAAACAGGTGGAAGTAAAACGATATCTGTCGACAACTTGCCACCACATAGTCATTCTGGTACAACAAACTTTTCTGGCGACCATAGCCACTCATTAAGAGACCACCCATTATACAACTCAGAGTATGAAGCTGGCTATGACGTTTTATCTCCAGATTATAACCATTCAGCAAAAAAGACTTTTCGACAAACTGAACCAGGAGGAAACCACCAACATACTTTTACAACAACATCTACAGGACTAGGTAAAAAATACATGCCACCTTACATGACAGTTTGTGCATGGTATAGAATTGCTTAGTCGTCATTTTCAACTTCTTTAGCATATTCGTCAGGAGTTGTCTTATATTTGTTAGGAACTGTCTTTGAAAGTATACCACCTTGAACTTTGACAAGTTTGAAACGAGGTCTGACAATAGTAGTTTTATCTTCTGCTTGCAGTCTGTACATTTTGCCATGTTTGCCTAAAACTTCATAATATTCTCTTGTATACTTTCTTCTATTTTTACGAACACGAAGGTGAGTACCTGTCGAGTTCCCATTGTTGTCATAGTCAATAGTATTTTCATATGGGTCGCGTTTAGGTATTTCTATTTTTACTTTGTCACCTTTCTTAAGTTTGAAGCCTGGCATTCTTTCTTGTTTGTCTCTTTTGACTAAACTATTAAATATATAGTCTTTCTCTAAGTCGGGGTTGTTTTTCATTTCTTCGGGGGAGTGGTTTCCCAAACCTTTTTGTTTACGGCTATTGTAAATATTTAAAACTTGTCTCATCTTTGCCATGGAGAAGTGTCTATATTTGTCGTCATATGACATTTCATTTGCTTCACCACCTTGTGGTTGGTTTAAGTCTCTTAAGATTTTTATACAACTGTCAATGACACCAAGAGCAGAATGGTTTTGGTCGACAATGAAATATTGGTTTACATTTTTTGAACGCAGATAGTTTTTTACATCATCTGATTTGAAAGAACTTTCACAGTCAGATGTCAGTTTTGTTGGATGGTATTTGTCAACGAATATTGTCAAAGCAGTTTTCACATCTAAAATATTTTTGGACTGTAATGGTATGGCTTCACAGTATCTTGTGTTTTGACCGACAAATATTAGCCAGTATGGAGGTCCATCTGTTCTAACTCTCGGAATGTTTTCCAAGATATCCATAAACCAAGCATTTGGTGTTGAACTAAAGATTTTTACCATGAGTGCTTTCTTTGTTGCTTTAGAAACATACGGGTCCTTGTTTGGATTCGTCATTTTTACCCCATAAGAAATGGGTTTATTTGGCGCATTAGCAGGAGTTGCATCCAGATTTTTGCCCGCAGTGGGAACAATAGCCAGAGGTGTATTTGGAGTTGGAAGGAAGATTTTGAGTACATTAGGTATACTTAAAGAGAAAGCACAACCTATTATACAAACTGTACAGAAAGGTTGGGATGTAGCACGAGATGCAGCAAATCTTATTCCAAATCCTGAAACAAGAGGAAAAGTTCAAGGATGGATGGACAATGTAGGAAGACAAGCAGGAAACTATTATAACAAAGCAAATGACTACTATAACCAAGCAGGACACTATATGGACCAAGGTGAAAGATTCTTTAACAGAGGATATAACCATGCACAACAATGGGTAAACAATAACCAACCTCAACCGCCTCAAACGTGGGGAATGTAAAGTTTTTTACTGAGATGAAATGAACAATACAGCATTGAGACAAATGGGTTCAAGATGGATTTGTCGGCTTCCAGCAGTTACACAACCACGTGTTTGTCAAGTTCTTCCTATACCTCAGGAAGTTTTAGACCGACTTAAAAAACCTAAACAACCAGTTGAAAACAAAACAAACTAAAATTTTTACTGAGATGAAATGACCGAAGAAGTTGAAACGGTAGATTTGACACCACAAACAAAAAGTTCAGAACCATTGTCAAAACCTGTCAAAGAACTTACAGATGAAGAGAAAAATTCAATAATAGAAAGTGCCAGGTCTGGAAATACAAACCCTAACTATAAAGTCACTTTTCATAGAAATGGAACGGCTAGTATCTCAAAAAAGAAACAGACTCTCACAAATAAAATATTGAAGTCTGAAGGAGTTAAAGAGACAACAGATGGGAAGGTATACTTCACTGACCAACAGTTCATTATAGAACATCTCATTGACTTAGAGTCGAAATATTCTAAACTTTACAACAAACACAAAAAGTTGAAAGGAAAACAAAAACAAATGGCATATGATATTTATGAAGATGTTGACGACACAACCATACCTGCAAGTGAGGTAAAGTCAGAGGAACCGAAAAGTGACGAAAAACAGATAGAAGAAGGTGAGCCAAAAACTGAAGATAAACCAAAACCAAAGGTTAGTTTCCAAACTAAACCAAGTCAACCTTCATTAGCTGGTATGGGTTGGCGTCAAAGACTTATGGCAGCAGGCGGTTATGTAAAGTAAAGAAAAAACATTTTTTTATTTTTATAAAAATGCCCCCGTATAGAATGGATAGAAGGTCTGCTAGAATAAAAGCAGAGTTAGAAAGATATGGTTGGAGAGTTTCAAAGAAGTTTAAATATAGGAAGGGAAGACCCATAAAAGTCTATGACAAACTGGCTGGTCTGACCTATGAAATGGACTTGGAAACAGCACGCGCAAATTATCCAAACAGACTTGAGAGGTTAGAAGAAGAGCGTCTTATAAACTTGCCTTTCGATGTTAGTGAACCGCAAGTTGAAGGACACGACGGCTTTGCCAGATTCTACTGGAAACATGACGAACAATTGCATCCTTTGAGAAGGAAAAAAGGAAAAGGTGAAGACGCACATGCTCCCATGGAAAGAACAAGATATGCATATGAAAAGTATCGTGAGGTTAGAAGTCAAATTACATCTGGTCGAACCTTTACAGTAAACTTTGACGAAGGAAAGAACAAAGAAGGCTTCATGGGTGTACTTGCTGCCATACAAGACGGAAATAAGAAAGGATACAATCTCAGATTGACCATAACAGATTTGGATGGTCACATTTACTATGCACATGGCAATGTCACAACAGCTGCAATGCTTCTTGACGCTTTCAAGACTACAAAGAGAGAACAAATGGTTGACTCCGACTCAGACATTTTGAATGCAATTGAAGGAATTGCAAGTGTCAAGTTCGAATGGTACCAACCTAACCCTCAAGCAGTCAGACAACATGCTGGATACTTCCCGTTCAGAAATAAGTCTGACATTGACTTGACAAGGTATGGAATTTACAATTCAATTGAAACAATTGTCAATGAACCTTGTATTCTTACATGTCTCAGGAACTCTGGTCTTGTTACAGATGAGAAGATGAAGTATCTTGAGTCATGTGTGAAGACGAGGTACCTTCTCAGAGGTCAATTGGCAAAAGTTGCACCGTTGGCAAATGTGAATATCCGAGTCAACATTCCGACTGAGAAAGGTTCTTCACATGACGACTATGTTGTTGACAAAGACTTACCATGGTTGAAGATTGCAATTGTCCATAACCACTTCATGTTGAACGAAAGTCTTACAAACCCATTGTTCGGAAAAGGCAAGTGCAACATTGTCAGAGCTGTTAACATTCTTTTCGAGAAAGGTTTGTTGGAACCAATTCCAGATGACAAGCTGACAGAAACTTTTGTACCAAAAGACGAAACAAACTTTTCACTGTTAGCAAGACCAAAAGTTGTTCCAGACAAAGTTCTAGTACAAAAGAAGTACACAGTTCCAAAAGGAGTTGGATTGTTCGGATACCAACCTGAACCAGAAGAACTTCCAATGAGGTTGCAAGAACTTCAAGATGCTATAAACAAACTCCCATTGAGACATCCAATCGACGTCAAATTGTATTGGAGAGCATCAGAGTTAGGTCAGAAGGTTTTATATGAAACAGGTTGCTTCGACGATGTTTATGAGATAACAGGAGAAGTTTCTCAGAAGATAAGAGACTCGCTTGAATTTCCAAAAACTGGTCCGATTGGATGCGATAAGTTCGACTCATATGAAAAAATATACTATGTTGACCTTAACGCTGCATACATGAGGTTCGTCCAATATATCCCGACTGGAATTCCAAACGAAGACGGTGAGTTCCCAGGAAGGAACTATACAGTTGGAAAAGTCATACAACAACTCTATGATATTAGGAAAGCTTCAAACCCCAAACTTGCAATGACACTCAAATTGCTTATGAATTCGACATGGGGGTATTCCATTAAAAAACCTCAAGAGATGAAGAGTAAACATTATGAGAAGGTCGACAACTTTGTTGAAAGGTTCTCCCCTTTTGTTTTGAAATACGAATTTACCGAAGGTGAAAGTGGCTTAGTAACCACATTAAAACCTATTGTCGAACATTGGTCTTACCCTCAGTTCGCAAAAGCAGTCCTTGACGAGTACAACAAATTCTTCTCCGAAGTCAAATCCAAAGTCAAGGTTTACTATGAGAACATTGACGCACTCATGACGAACGAAGAAGGCTATAACAAACTCATTGAAATGGGTTTAGTTGGTGAGAAAATGGGCTGTTTTAAGCTAGACAAGGTATTTTCCGAAGTTCATGTTCTCTCCAAGCGTAAGTATTGGGGTGTTAAAGAAGATGGTGAAATAGTTAAACATTGCATGAAGTAAAAAATTTTTATTTGAAAATGTACGCTGAGTCTGTCGGAGAAGACCGTTGGGAAACTTGTTTGTTAGATGAGAAATATGAAATGGCATACCATTTTAAAACATTTTTTAAAACAGTATATTTTTACATATATTAAATGTTTCAGGTTGAAAAACAAAGAACAAAAGTAGCAGATACAAAACCGTTAGACTATATCTTTACAAACGCTGGTAGGACTATATCAGATGAAGAAATTTCATCCGGCTCCTACCGCTTTGACTTTCCAATTCGTTGGCTTCAAAGTCCTTCAGATGCAAAGGCAATAGGATTTAGAAGAGTTTTGTTTTCAAAAAGAACTAACGCATTTATGTTCGCAGTATATTTTCATGGTCAGTATAGAGGTTCTGATGGTCTAATAGACAAATTTGATGAAATGAGAATCTTTACAGTTCGTTCAGACGAAAGTCTTGAGAAGACTCTAAATGACTTTCAAACTCAAATAAACAAATACTACTGGGAATTTCAAGAAAAATACGATTCTTTACTAAATGGAACATACTATCTGAAACTAGAATATGACAAGATGAACTCCACAGTTTCATTTCAAAGGATTGAAAATAACCCTCCAAGAGATACACAGTTTTTATTTTGGCAAGTAGACAAACGTTCTTGGGCACAATTTCTTCGGTTACTAAACCAGAACGAACCATTACCACCTGACGGTCCGTTCTGGTTTATACGCCCACCAACAGATTTGACAGTTTATAGAAACGTGTTTGACCCTCAAAATGTCATGTGTCATGCAAGTTTCAGTTCAAGCAACAATAGTTTTCTTTGTATTGGTAAGGACTTTTATGACTTTGCTTCTAAATTCTACGAACCACCTAGTAACAGTTTCTCTGACTTTCAAGTTTGGTTCACAACAAATGGTGTGCAACATATTGTTCCATTGTACTACGACTTTTATCTCGAATTGTCTTTCATATATAACTACGGAGAAGTGCTGAAAAGGTATTGAAAAATAATGTTTAGGGTAGAAGGTTAGATCTAACCTCTTTTCTAACCTCTTTTCTACCCTCTTGAATTTTCATGAATTTTCCCGAAATAAAAAATAAAGTTAGTTTTATTTTTTTATTTTTTTTTATTTTGTATGTAAGGACAGAAATGTCAGTCGAAGCAAAAACATTCACGAACAAATCTAATGGTGAAACATTCACAAAAGGCACTTACAACGGTATTGAAGTCTTACGTAGAGACAAGGATGGTTATATAAATGCAACAAAGATGTGTCAGCAGTTTAGGAAAGACTTTAGAAGGTTGTTGGAAAATAAGTCCTGGGAAGAGTATTTTAAGGCATTTTGTGAAGAATATACCAACCCGCGGAAAACGGCGGGTTGCTTTTTATACAAAGTTCATGCAGGAATTCCGGATGAAATCAAACAGGTTAGAGGAATGTATGTAGACCCAAGACTCGTAAACTATATTGCAATGTGGGCTTCTCCAAAATATTGTATAGCAGTTGGAAAAATTATGGACTCCATAGACAAGAAAGTTCATGAGAAGTTAGATGAAGAAGAACTTGAAGATACAGTAGAGAATGCAAAACCTTTGTTTGAAGAAGAAGTTAGAAAAATGCATGAAAAACAAATAGAACATGAACGTGAGATATGTTCTGGTTATAGAGATTCTCCATACGAACTAGACCAATGGGAACAAGAAGATTTAAAGAGAGAATTTAGAGAATATGAACTCGCTAAGATAGCATTTGAAGCTGCAGAAGAGAGGTTAAAAGTTTGGGGTCGTTTTGTACAAAAATATTGTGAGTAAATGAACCATTTATTTTTATTGAATTCGGCAAAAATATATTTTAGGGTAGAAGGTTAGATCTAACCTGTTTTCTAACCTGTTTTCTAACCTGTTTTCTAACCTCTTGAATTTGTCAAGACTTCTTCGTAAATGTTTTGTCAAGACTTCTTCGTAATGAGTGTAAATCAGACAAAAATATATTTTATGTTAGCATGTTAGATCTAACACGTTTTCTAACCTGTTTTCTAACATCGTAGAAAACTCATGAAATTTACACCAAAAATATATTTTATGTTAGAATGTTAGATCTAACATGTTTTCTAACCTGTTTTCTAACATCGTAGAAAACTCATGAAATTTACACCAAAAATATATTTTATGTTAGAATGTTAGATCTAACATGTTTTCTAACCTGTTTTCTAACATCGTAGAAAACTCATGAAATTTCATGAATTTCCTTAAGATAGAAAAAGTATTGAAAAATAAAGTTAGTTTTTTTAAAAAAATATTTTTTATTTTTATTGTAAGAACATGTTAGCAACAACTTCACCAAACTCTTTAGTCATGAATCCAACATCTATGTTAGTAGAGATGAAAAGCTTCATTCCTTCTTCATATACTTTCGAAACAGAAATCCAGAAGATAAAGCAAGAACTTCTCCAAGGAGATTTAGACTGTAGTGCGAAAGATGAAACAAATGAACAGTATCTTTATGAAATGCAGGACCTCATCGACCATTTACCCAAATTGCCTGAAATCCAACAACAAAAACTAACCATTCCCGAATTTGACGAAATAGAAGTCAAAGCAACTGACTCAGTAGAAATAAAGAAGTTCATACGAAAGGTAAATTATGAATTCCTTGGATTTCATTGCAACCACAAAGTCATGGACAAAGATTGCGATATGGTATATAAGAACATCTCTGACATATACAAATCTGGGGAGTTTAAGACCTACGACAACTTTGTTTCGTTAGTTGCAAAATGTGTTTGGGAAATAAGAGATAAAGATAGTAGGGGTAAGGTATGGAACGAACAAATAAGACCCGCTATGTTCGAGATGAAGAAAACCATTGACGCCTTAGTTGTTCTAGCAGGACAAATTTCAATGTACAATGCAAAAATGAACCCGCAATGTTCAAAATGTAAAGCAGCAATGAGGAAATATAACTACTCCGTCAAAGAGATAGAACGTATGCGAAACGACTATGCAGATTTAAAGAAAGAAGCAGAAAAACCAGCAGAAGATAAAATGAACATGTTAGAATTTCTGAACAAAAACTATCCAACTGCTGACGATTTCCTTCTATCTGACGTCAAGAAGAAGTATAAAGAAACTTTCGGTATCGTTAAAACATTCGATATCCTCAGCGAAGAAATAGAAGCTACGAAATTGTTTAGAGTCATGAACCATCGCAACATATACCATGTAAAACGCTTGTAAATAGTTATGTTAGAAAACATGTTAGAAAACATGTTAGATCTAACATTCTAACATAAACATTATTTTTGCTGAATTCCGTATGAAAATTCATGAGTTTTGTGTGTTTTAGACCATGTTAGAAAACGTGTTAGAAAACATGTTAGATCTAACATTCTACCCTAAAATATATTTTTGCTGAATTCCGTATGAAATTTCATGAGTTTTGTGTGTTTTAGACCATGTTAGAAAACATGTTAGAAAACATGTTAGATCTAACATTCTAACATAAAATATATTTTTGCTGAAAAATGACCAAATTTCATGAATTTCCTTAAGACAGAAAAAATAAAGTTAGTTTTATTTTTTTTTATTTTTTTATCCGGAATATAAAGACAGATATGTCAACAACAGAGAACACAACAACTGCTATCGTTCATGAAGCTATAAATGAAGAATATGAGTACATACAGTATAACAAACAACTCCGTCTCATTCGTTCGGTCAAAGATGACATGTACCAAATGCAAAGTATTTTGAATACTCTTCGTTCTACAAAGCAAGCATACCATTGGTTTGAAAACCAACAGACAAAAGAACTTTTAGAAGAATTTCCTCATATGTTTGCTACCCTCGGAAAACCGAGGGTAGAGATTCCGTACGAAAATCGCAAGAATTTGGCTCCTGGTTTGAGAGGTTGGTATGTACATAGACTTCTTGTAAATGCTGTTGCAATGTGGGCTTCACCTCGATATGCTTGTTATATTTTCATGATGTTAGATGAAATTCATAGACAAGAACGTGAAGAGATGGAAAAGAAACTTCAAGCAAAAGATGAAGTCATTGAAGCAAAAGACAAAAACATACAGAAAAGAATACCACGTTCGGTACCAAAAGGAAAGGAAAAGAACTATAAGTATATGATTTATACTGAAGAGATGGAAAATGAAGAAGACAGAGATATGGTTATGTTGCATTTAGTCAGAAGAAACAACAAAAGCTTTTACGACTTAGCTAAGATTTACAAATCTGACAGAAATTGGTTCTATCGCGAAAACTTACCGATTTCAATGACACCAAATGAAGATGTGAAACAAATAGTTCAAGATACTTTACCTCAAACACACTATGATATTAAAGGTTGTACAATACTTACATTCAAAGAAGATTTGCCATTGTTAAAGGAAAAAATAACAGAGTATTTTGACAACTTCAAACAAGTAGAGTAGATGAACCATTTATTTTTCAAGCTTGACTTCAGATGGCTCAGGTAGCTCTATAAAGTAAATTGCCTTGTCAAATCCTTCTGGCATTCCAAGTTCTTCCTTCCGACATTCCAAGTCCTTCCTTCCGACATTCCAAGTCCTTCCATCCGACATTCCAAGTTCTTCCTTCCAACTGGAAAAAAATTTCCCGACAACAGGAAAAAAATTTCCTGACAACTGGAAAAAAATTTCCTGACAACTGGAAAAAAATTTCCTGTTGTTCGTCCGTAAACCATTCAAATTTTCGAAAATTGAGAACTTTTTGGTCGAACGACAGAAAAAATTTTTCCTTCAGACAGGAAAAAAATTTCCCGACAACTGGAAAAGTTTTTCCTTCCAACAGGAAAAGTTCTTCCTTCCAACAGGAAAAGTTCTTCCATCCGACAGGACACAAACGAATGTCCGACGTACCACCAACCGAGTCCATTCCAAAGCCAGAAGAACCGAAAGCCCCAGCACCACAACAGACTAAGACTCAAACACTTACATTTTTCAAGCTTGACTTTTTACAATTTGAACTTTGTTCGCGTAGATATGAATTCTGAAAGAAGTATGAGGGTCTTGTATGACTTTGTACTTCTCCCATAGTTCATGTCTGTCAAACTTACCTGCCATGGACTCTTTCATAAGTTCCATGAAATCGTCTTCGGACAATCCAGGGAAAAGTATAATGTCAGTAAGTATTCTTTTAACATCTTTACTTAAACTCTTTGCTGTCTGTACACAAATGACAACTGAGATGTTAAAGTGTCTGAGCTTCTTAAGAATTCGACACATATCTTGTTCTCTATTCTTAAGCAAAGGATGAGAAGCAATCATCTAAGATAAGAAGACATCTATGAGGGTAAGTCTTCCAATCGTAAGATTGCAATTTCTTCGAAATGTATTCTATCTCTTTCTGTTTGTTTCTGAAGTGTTTCTTCTCTAATATTCTCTGCATTTCCTCATTAGGGTCTTTAAACTTCGAATTTATATACTCATTTATAGCATTATACTTCAAAACTCTTCTTTGGTACTTCTTTATCCAATCTAACAACTCAGTATCCTTTATACATACTAACTTAGACTTCTTTATAATATCTTTGAACGAATTGACGGTTTGGTCAAATTGACCAGAAGTCGAACAAATAACAACTAACTCATAGAATGGGTTCTTCTCATCTAGTTCTTGTTGTTGTGCAGCCATTTTAAGATAAGTGAAAGTCTTACCCGACCCAGGTGGTGCAATTAGACCTGTTATACCATTCTGAGCAAATAAGAACTTGTCATGTATAGGCTTTATCTGAGCATTTTCTAACTTCCTCTTGTTCTTCTTCAAAACATTCTCAAATTTCTTGTCAATGTCAGCAAACTTTTTTTCTAACATATTTTTAGAAAAATTAAAATTTTTATCTTTTTGAAAATGTCTAGCGATTTCGCTATCTATATTCGAGACAAGCTTTTCGACAGCAAAACATCTGTCGACCATAAAATCTTACATAGTGTAAACAAGAAAGGTGAATTTGTTCTAAAGTTCTGTTTCTGGGAATATGACAAGAACCATAAAACATTAAGCAGAGAAGTCTTAAAATTTGTCAATGACAGACTTGTTGACAGAGATGACGCCTCTTGGAAAGATGAAGTCCAACAAAAGTTCTTAGAATGCAAAGAAGACACATGCGCTGTTCTTGAAGATGAAATAGAAAACAGAATAGAAGAGCTATTAAAGGACAAAGAACTTTTACATAAATATGGTTGCGCCAAATTTGACATAACTCCACCAGAGAAGAAGAAGAAGAAGAGAGAAAAGAAAGAAAAGAAAGTAGAAGAAGAGAAAAAAGAACCTGAACCAGTTCCAGAGAAGGTGAGATATGACATGTAAAAATAAAATTTTATTTTTAGAACATTTCTGGGTCAATGTCAATGTTCTCTTCCTCTTTAGGAGTAAACACTGCTTAGACTCTAAAATCTTTTTACCCAATTTACCTTGAACTTCAACTATCTTAGACTCATAATATTCATAGTCGTCTGCTTTCTTTGGTTCATAAGGTATAACAAGTTTGTATGCTTTGCCTTCTTTAAGGTTTGAGAACCTTCTGTCAAAACTTTCTTTGACTGCTAACAAACCTTCTATGTCTAAGTCTTCAAATTTCGCACACATTTTTAGTCACAATAGCAAACTTAACTGGTTCGATGTTCCAAACTTTGCTGAATGAAGACTTTTTCAAAATGGTAGAAGTAAACATTCAAATAAGCGAATGGGTCTAGTTCTTCTTTAAGTCCTGACATATATTTGTTGACTGAAATATATTTCGTCATCTTTTCTATCGATAAAAAAATATTTTTTTTAAAATTTACTCATAAAAATTTTTCTTTGTATATACGCCGTTCTGAAATCTAAAAGACTTTTGACATTTGCCAAGAATGTACGTTTAGACGCTGCCATATAACCATACTCTTGACAATACTGTTTATACGAATCGTACAATGACCTTTCATCTAAACTCAAAGTTAGTCTCATCTATAAACAGTTCATATACACTCTTGTTTGCTTCTAACAATGTTTGTCTTTCTTCGGTATGTGGAATTTGTCTTGGATTGAACTTAGAAATATCTAATGTCATGAAATATGAGAACAAGTGGTTGTAAAAGTCAGATGTCAAAGTTTCTGCTAAGTCGTCAAAAATATTCTGTATCTTGCATATGAGAATCTGACGTTCTGACAACTACATATCTTCTGTCAGAACTTTAACTTCATCGGAAACAACATTGTTTGAAACCATAATGAAGTTTGCAAATTTTCACAAACTCTTTGGTCTTTATACTTTCTTTCAACACACTCCAACTTTATCTGTATAAGACTCTTCAAAGCATCTGAGTTCAAAAAACTTTTGTTGTATCTATACTTTGAAGTTCATTGCAAACTATAAGTTTCATATTCTCAATTGAGAGTTAAACTTGCCACAGATGTTTTCTAAGTTTGTCATATTCGGGTTCGATAGCCCTCTAACAGTTTGCACAAGATATCTGTAAAGAATGTGTTCTTACCTGTTCCTTGTTTTCCAATTATAATGAGAGCAGTTTCATTTTTAGCACTTGGATGTTGTAAGATGTTTGCAAACCAACATAAGATATACTCATAGACTCTTTCGTTTCCATTGCATATAATTTCTTTGACATGGTCTAACCAAGCTTCTATAATATTTTCTTTCCATTCTACTTGTTCGTATTTATATCCAGTGAAGATAGAATAGAAGTTTGGAGAAGGTGTATAAAACTTTATACCTCGAACTGAAAAATCTTCTAAACTTTGACAATAAGATATCCCAAGCATCTAACATCTTCATGCCAACTTGTACGACTTTTATTTTCTTAAGTTTCTGTCTAACATTCTTGTTCAGACACTATTTTGCTCTTGGTTTGTTAAAGACAACATCCCATTCTTTCATAACATAACATTCTGGGGCAGAGTCAACATAAATGACTAAACGTTTCAAATTCTCGACGCTTTGTTATAGTCTCGAAATGGACACATATTTCTGAAGGCTTGGAAGTCATAAAAATCTGAAACATCTATTCTGTACATTTTTATAAAAATAAAAAAAAATATTTTTTTTATTCTTGACTTTGTTGTTGCATTTGTTGCATTTGTTGTTCTTGAGCTATTTGTTGTTGAAGTTGTTCTTGTAATACAATACTTTCACCAGTTGCATCTTCCAATTCGAAACTTTCTGCCGTCATTGACAAATACATAGGACATAAAAGTTTTACAGGAACAAAGTTTGCGTCAACTAATGTCAACGTTATACTTGCCAAAGTGTTTGAGTTCACTAAGGTTGAAAATTCTGCATTCGAATGAACAATAGGCAAACCAGCAGAGAAAGTATTGTTTATACGCATAAGTATCTTTTGGTCATAATAGTTTCTGTCGACATTCGAATAACACTTTGAACCTAAGTTTGAAACAATATATAAGATTGGTGTGCTTAAGTCAATGGAATAGACATTCCTTGTATGACACCTTTTCCTGTTATAGGAAACTGTTGGTAGTAAAAACCAGATATAAGTTTTGTATTATAGCTCATATCGTTTATAGTAAACTCAGTCGGACATCCAAACATAATGAAACCCGCTCTAGTTGCAGCACATGTTACACTCGTACGTAAAGTATTAAATAAGTCAACAAAAACCTGTTGGTGGTATATCTGAGTAAGTATCTTCAAAGGAGTATTTTTTACCATTCACAACAATAAAGTCTTCTGGTGTCAAAAGAGCAAAACAGGCTTTAGTCGTCATTGTGTTTAAGGTCAGTTTACAATATCGTCCTTGAGGACTTTGTAAGTTTGTTGTTATAGAATTATATGACTCAGGGTTTTTAGTCGTAATAGTATAAACCACTATGTTTCTGCCATTTACTTAGCAAATAAATTTTAATGAAATGTTGTGGTCGTCAAATATTTTTATGACGTCTGGGAAACTATATTTTTAAGTTCAAACGTTTCGCCTCCTTTCATAACGTATATCTTGTCAATGACATTGTATGAAACACCACAGCAAGCAATGTCGGGTTCTATTTCTTTGATGTTTATATCGTCTGCCTCTGTCAAAAGTTTCAATAGTTCTTTCAAAATTTCATGAGGTGCGATGACATATGAGTTCACTTTTACAGGGTTGTGCTCAACCAAGTTTAACATTATACCTAAAGCTTGACAAATCTTCTCCTGAGTTTTAAGTTTGTCTTTCAGTTGCATGTAGTCGTTTCGAATATCTGCAACAGAACTTAAGTCTCTGCTAACTTCAGGATATGTTGGTTGTTCTTTTACAGGAACTATTGTTATACCATCTTCGTCTTCGTATGGTTTCCCCACTTCAACATCTCTTTCTTTGACATTGACAACAACACTTTGACTGTTTGTTTGAGTTGGTGAATTTAACTTCACATCTGCCATCGCCATTAAACCTTTTGAAACACTTACGCTTCTATT